ATCACTTCTGGGCTGTGGCTTTTAGAGACAAATTCACCATTCAGAGCAGAATGGAGGGAGAAGAGTCCTTGGCACTAATGTTGCTGCTGCAACACTCCCCGAGGTGAGGGCATGTGGCACAGCCCCTTCCTTTCATACAGTCAGAAAGTCATGGAATATTTTGGGTTGGAAGGGACCTTAAAGATCCAGTCCCACCTCCTGCCATGGGCAGGGACATCCCCCACCAGCCCAGGCTTCTCCAAGCCACATCCAACCTGGCCTGGAACACTCCCAGGGATGGAGCAGCCACAGCTGCTCTGGGAAAACCATTCCAGTGCCTCAGCACCTCCCAGGGAGGAATTCCTGCCCAATCTCCAAAGGAACTGCCCATCCTCCTGTGGCCAAACCACTCTCCCACTGGCCATAGTATCCTCCTAATGCCATATCCTTATCAATCCAAAGTGTAACTAAGTGGTTGCTTTAAAACTCTGGCAATTAGCTCTTTTTTTTCCCCCACTTGATTGCCCTTGGATTTCTTCTCTTTTCATCCCATCTGGCAAGTGCTGCTCATTGTTACTCCAGTATCTGATACCACATCCCCTGAAGCATTCCAAGGCCTTGGATCAGACCCCGGACGCCTGCTTAATACTGATTTTATGACCCTGCTGAATAGCATCCTCCTCTGGTTTGCAAATATTTGAGCATTTTTAATGCATTCAAGTACAAAAAAATAACCCGAATTTCAACCCACTGCTCAAAGAACTCAGCCCCAAACTGAAGCTGCACAGAAGGAGCAAAGTTCTGCCCAAGAAAACTAAGGGGACTCAGAATCTAGACCAGTAATTTATGGATTTTAAGTACTTTTGAGAAGCTTAAAGCGCTTTTCATTCCTGAAAGTTCTATCCAGAAGGAAGAGTTCTAAAGGCACAACTTCAGATTCTGCTTGGTAACGTCTCTGGTGTTCCCCTACCAGCTACACCTTCTTTGGCCCTGTGGAAATCAAAAACCTACCACAAAACTTACTCATTCCTCCAGTCCTCAGAGCCAGTAGGAAATATATACACGGGAATAATTTCCAGCCCTTTCCAAGATGCAGTTTTTAAAAGGCCTTGCTGAAAAGCTCTCAGGAAGCTCCAGCTCTCTCAGGTTTAGATTGAGATCTCCTGCAGCAAGCCAAGACACCTCTCCATTAGCTACTATTATGATAACCTATTAATAATCATTTTCATCTGGAAAACATGTTTATTTGTTGGGATTTTTTGACTGTTACGTTCTCGCCGAGCAGATAGGAACTGGGATGAATGATTCCATGAGGAAAATATGTCACGCTCACCAAGCCATGAAGTTTTCCCTCTCCAAAATAACTATTTATTTTATATTCTACCCAATGGTGTCAAGAGATTTTGCATCAGAGAGATTTCATCAGAGTCACCTAAACCGGTTCATTAGGCACTAAGCAAACAGGATGTGTTGCAGCAAGGAGAAGGTTGGAAGTGTTCGGGAACAGCAGGAGCAAAAGAAAGATGGATTTTGGTTGAGGCAGGTAATCAGGGCAAGGGGGAGGTGGAAATTGGCTCAAGTTTTAAAAGGACATTTTTCTTTCAGAAACTACTTGGGCTTCCAAGCCAGACAGGCAGGTTTGCCCAGTAGCATTCTCAAACTAGGGTGAGGAATAGTAACTCTGGAGTGCAGCCAAGCCCAATGCAAATCTGTTTGGTTGAGGAGGAAAGAGAGCCAAATTGCTTTTATACAACATCTCGAGGTTTCGGGCGACCTGGGAGAGTCTCAGCTCCCATGCTGGAGCAAATCAAGTGGGGTTTGGTTTTAATTCTACACAACAGGCACAGGAAAAGCAACTGCTGGATGTCAGACATGAAACACCACCGAAACATTGTTCAACTCTTTAAGCTTTGGCTGATCTTTGGCTGGGGCCAAAATATGACTAGTCTTGATTCTGGGTCCAAACAGTTTTATTGGGCAGAACTTTGCTCCTTCTGTGCAGCTTCAGTTTGGGGCTGAGTTATTTGAGCACTGGGTGCAAGTTTGGGGTTTGCTTTTTTTTTTACTTCAATGCATTCAAAATGCTAAAATAGGTGCAAATACTTGGCTGGGGTCAAATTTTGACAGAGGGAAATCTATCCCTGTGATCAGGGGGAATCGCTGTCACTCTCTCATAAGCAGGAGGTAAATGTGGAGTATAATCTTCACGTTTGAAGCAGAATCTCTTGCCAGATATCATTTCAAGCTCACAGAAGGAAATTTCAGCTCTTTAAGGATGTCAAGAATGAGAGTTGCCCACTCAGAGAGCAGAGTGGGGTTTGCTGTTGGTTCTGAGGGGGCTCTGGGGAGATCATCAATGAAGAGGGAACTGTCCCCAGTCAAATCCACTTCTTATTCTCCATCAGGGATTTCAAACCACCACTGACAGACACAAGGAGCCTCCACTGTGCCCATAACCACGGTGAACTTTCAGCCGCTGCTCCTGGCATGGCGTTATCACCGGTGGCACCTGAACTTAGCCAAGCTCAAATATTCCACGGCAAACAAAGTTTTGCTTCGTTTTCCTCCAGCAAAGTATCAAAGGAAGCAATGCCCTTTGAAGCAGCTACCTTCTGCTTTAGGCTTTATACAAATCCAACAAGAACAGCACCTCAGAAAGCCAAGGCTGAATGCAAACAATCCCCACCTTTGGAAAACAATCCCCTGGTCGAGGAGTAAACAAAGGCATACATTAGTCACTCGCTCTGAAGATGGGTGGCCAATGGAGGGGATGAGATTTCACCTGACTAATAGCACACAGCATTCCCAAATCACCCCATGGCTTAAAGGATCCCAAACACCCAAGCATCACCCAACAAGGTTTATATCCCTGGGTAAGTCATTGACCACTGGCAACTGCTTAGAGTAGGGTAAGGGGCTTGGCAGCGCTCCCTGCCAAGCTCTGCTGGGTGAATAAGGCCTGTTTTCTCTCAGCTGCTGCATTTTGACCTTGAAGCTCACACAGTTCACTGTTATGATTTCTAGCTTCATTACCATGGCCAGGAACTGAACTACAGGTTTGTTTTTATTAGCTTCTCCACCACTCTGCCAGCTATTCATTTGAATCTTCTAAACAGTCATCTCTGAATCATAATGCAAATTCCATTTACTGAAAAGGTGGTACCTTTAATATAACAAATGAACACGTTTAATGACTGATACTTTTAGACATTACAGCATCCCTCATGTTTTCAGTAAATGGATATAATTTTCCCTGCATTACCCTATGATTATTCTTTGCTAGCATTTATGAAGCGACGTTCTCAGCTCGGGGTGTTTTCCACTGAGTGCATTTGAAGACAGCCCAAACAACACAATTTAAAAGACATCTGCCTCTAGATCCTCAGCTAGAAATGCTGCAGGAGGCAGAGGAGCTGGATTGGTGTTTTAGTCTATAAAAGCACTCATGGCTCGCATCGATGTTTCACCAGGGCCACGAGCTGCCACCGTGGCCGTGTTTGGCTTGGAAGAGTATCTACAGATGCATTTCACTTCAAAGGCAAAGCAAGGCTGTTGTGTATAATCAGCAGCACTTCCTTAGTCTGAAGCCTGACCCATCTCCCATTTGGAATGAGGCATTTTAAGGAGAAGTGGGTCACCTTTGGCGCTCAGGCACGCTCGGAACTCCGTGTGGGAAGAACCGCGCGCGAAGCCACACATCAGGTGGTGGCTCTGATGCTCACACGGGTGGGGGAAAGTGGTGAGGAGGGGCCAGTGAGCCCTCAGTTTGCTTCAGAGACACCTCACGACACAAATTGCTCCAAAATGCAGCACACAGAAACCAACTGAAGTGCATAGACACTGTCATGTTGAATTGAGAGCAGAGAGTGATTGCTGTGTTTGCAATCCCACAAAAACCTTCCAGTTTTACTTAAAGACACAAATGAAACAGAAGGAAAATACATAAGTAAATATCACATGAAGTCACGTCAAAGATGTGACAGATTTTCACCCTTGACCTGATCCTTCTGAGCTTTCTCTGAGCAACAACTCACTTGGTTTCTCTTCTGTAGGTTCCACTGAACCTCCCCGAACTCGCAGCACCACAGGCATAACTTAAGGGAAACACTTCAAATAAACTCGCAGAGAGGTAAACAGGAATCCTTGGGATTTAAGGGGTTGAATATCATGGATTGGAGCCAAAGAGTGAAGTGGCAAAGAGTCCTGTGTTGATTTTTTGGGGCTCAGCTTTGTGAACCTGCCCACTCCCGGGCGCCGTGAGCCACACGCGTTGGGTTCTCTCTGCAGCTTCCTAACTACATCTAGTCCAGGTCTAAGGCAACTTCAGCTCTCAGTTGTTATTTATGCTCTGAAGGCCTTTGCATTTACATCCCAGTAATGACTGGTTGTGGCAGAGATACAGCAGGTCAGGTATTAAGCTCATCTGTTCTGTCTGGACTCTCCTGTCCACCTCGAAGGAGACATTAACCAACATGAGTGTTGCATGTTGAGAAGAAGGAAGGTCAGAAAAAGTGCTCTGTGCCTTCAGCAGGTCACCATGAAGCCGCAAAATATTTTGATCTAGGCAGGAATTATTTGTCTTTTTAGGCTGAGTCCCTGTGCTGCAGAGACCTGTTTTCACAGAGAGTCGGGGAGCCCTGCGACGATCGCCACGAGCCTCTCCACAAGCTGAAAAACCTCATTTTAAACTGAAAATAAGCCATTTAAACTTAACCATGGGCAATACTGTGCTGTTCTAAATCAGCAGGGACACCTTCCAGAGACAAAATATCATCTGGTGTACGATTTTTTCTCACTTTCAAATGAGTCTTCCCTGGCTCAAAATGGAAGTACCACCGAGGACTGGAGAGGATAAACCAAGGAAAACCACATAGCTCATTCTGTGTCTTTGGAACCAGCACATCCTGCAGAAAACCTGAGAGACTCCAACTCCAAATTCCCTCCCCATAGCCAGACAGTATGGATAGAACTTGACAGAAGTGGAGAACACGACCCAAGAGTAGCTGGGAATAAACATGTACCTCTTCCACTCCTGCCCACGAAGCGAAGGTCGTTGAATCTTGCCACCTGGTTCTTCATGGCAGCCGTGGCATTCCGCAGCTCTGCAGAGTAGTTTTCATCATTCCCAGCCATCACTGTTACCAGTGTCCCATCAGGAACATCTCCCAAGGCCACTACCTAGGAAACCAAGGAGCAGATCCCTTAGCTTCCACACATGACATCGCTTTGAGGCGCAAGAGACAACAAGGAACACGAGAAAACAGGAAGAAGCAGCAACAGGAAAAGATTTAGGCAGCTAAGATGATGTTTGGGGGGAAAACTGGAATTGCTTCCAGTTCTCATTTGCAGGAATGGAAATCCTCTTCCTCCCCCAAACTTTGTCACTTGAATCAAGTTTAAAGGCTTTGCAATTTTGGTTACAGAATTTGAACTCCAATTTCATGTAGACTCACTGCTACTTACTATCACTAAAATGCTTTCCAGTCTTAAAAAAATCCTTATTTTCCACATTTCCTGTGGAACTGAAGGACTGAAAAGAGTGATTTTTATTTTTATATCACTGATCTATTATACTACCATAACATCTATTATTTCAGGTGCATCTTTTTGACTCCTTGCTGGGGATTTGTACCATTTTAAACCTGACTTTTCTCAAGGTAATTAGACAGGAAAGGTTTTCCTTTTGAAATACCCAAATGATGTGTAGTCCGAGCTGAAAAAATAGGATTAAATCAGCTCTCAAAAATATCCACCTGGAATAGCTTATGAATAAACTGAAGGAACGGGACCTGATGCTGCTCTGATTCACAGCAGCAGCTCTTCCTATCTGCCCCAGCACAAATTCAGAGTGAATCCACAGAAAAACAGGCCCAAAATTGAATATTTCATCCCAATTTACTGAACAATTTCCTTTTTCCTTTGGAAGCATAAAAGTAAATCACTTATTTCAGACCTCACCCACAACCTGAGGGGTGAAAACCACGATCTCAGCTCACAAAATCTGCTTCAGCCAAAGGCTCAAAATGCTTCCCTGGAGCTCCTTGGGGCCATCCCAAGAGTATTTAGGAACACAGGATTCACTGCAATTTTAATGCAATGACCTGAGAGATACAGATCTGTAATCTGAAATATCCTGACTTGTACCTACAAAGTTCAGCACTGGTTAAATGACCAAAAAAATGTCAATTTTAGTGTGTCTTCTTAAGCAGCATTGAACTCTTCAAACGTTTTCTAGTGACACACAGAGTCCTGAGGTGTCTCTCCGTGTTCTCTGGCAAGAAGAGCTTGGATTAGTCCCTATTATATTTTTTTTTAGAGCCCATTGCTCTTCCCCCAATTAAGTCCACAGGACTACTACCCAAAAATAAAAGAGAAAAAAAATCCAGCTAGTTTTTAATTCCTCTTTCGCACATTTTAAGAGGAAGTAGCTCTGCATCGTGTCCTCTGAGTTACAGCTTCATATTTCTCCTTCCTCTTAGTGTCTTCTAGCTTGTGTCCAGGCTGAAGCTTGTCATGGCCTGGTTTTATTTCTCTCAGTTTCCAACCACATTGATTCTTTCCAAACAGGATCAGCAGCTTCATCTGTTCCTGATCCTTATTCCCAAGCCACATCTACCTCCTGGAATCAGGGAGAATTCTCCACTCTCAGGTATTTCCCAGCCTTTCCTCCCTTCTGTGCCCTCCCTGTTGTAACTGCTAACCCTTATTTTCACTTCCACATACCAACCTGAAATCACTGGGTCAAAATTCCCTCTTTACATATCCATTTCCACTTCTCCTTTCCCCATTCCTCCACAGCTTTGGGTTTTCTGTTCTCCTCTCCGTGCTCTAACGTATTTCTGGGGCCTGTGCTATGCTCAACCTTGTGCTTCTCCTCATGGCGTAAGTTAGTCCCTATTTGAAAGGTTTAAGCTCAGAAATCTTCTCCTTGCACAGTGCTGTGTCACACAATCAGCCACTGCCAACCCAAACCCTCCCAGTCCCTAAAAACCACCCTAAAACCTTCATTCCTGCACATATAGCACAGGCACAAGAAAGGGAAAGGGACAAATCAAGGCATTACCCTGGGATGCAAATGTTTGCCTGTTCATTGAAGGAAATATATCTCAGGATTTTAAGCATCCCCTAAAGTTTTGCCTGAATTTAGGGTCAGTTTTCTCTCACAGAACAATTCTTTCCCAGCTCACAGCAAAGACATGTGAAGAAAATATTGGAAGCAAGTAGAAAAGTTGCCACAGCCCAGAAAAGAAACTGCAGTTAAAAGTCACAGACAATGGAGAGAGAAATCCAAACATTTACATTAGAAGAAAGGCTAAACAGATAAGTTGGGACTTGCTGAGTGGAGTTCTCCAGGACTTTGTTGTGCTCTTTACCTCTGAGAAATATATATTTCCAGAGAAGCAATTTCAGGGTTGCAGAGCTGTTGGGTATCTAAGTTCTCTCCTGCTCCATCAATCAAACCAAACTGGCCTTTTAAATTCAGATTTCAGTTCTTTCCTCACAGCACTTGAACGATGGCACATTATTAGAAATTATTTTCTAACTAGCTCAGGATCATTCCTTAATATAGAAAAGCAAAGCCTGGAAATTATCATTTCTGGGTTGAAATAATATCCTAATCCTACAGATTAAACATCCTAAATGAATTTTTACAAGGAAAGGTGAGAGGGAAATTCAGTCTCTCTCTTTTTATTCCTTCAGTGGTTGTTAACACTTGATAAAACTTTTCTGTCAGATCCAAAGGAATTATCCGAACTGAATTTTCCAGTTCCTGGTCCAATTTATCTGAAAATATCACTTTTAAAAACGCCTTTGCTAATATTCAGTATTTAGCAAAAACCCAATGAGTTCGTTTTCGATGTGGCAAAGTATTTCAGGGCTCCTTTCTCTCCCTTACGGGGAGAAAATTTGGGAGGAGGCAAAGACGAGGAGCAGAGTGCTCTGCCAAGCAGGTGCCTCCCACCCAGCCCACCAGTTCAGCGGCTCAGAATGAAACTTTTCCCTGTTTTTTGGGGGTTTTTTTTGGAGGGGGCTTTGCTTTTTTTCTCTTCGCTCTTTCTAGCTGAACTTGTTCCAAACACTTGGGAACCCTTTCCCTTGGCGCGCGAGAGATGGGAGCGATGAGCACGGGTGATGGGAGCCAGGAGGGAGATCAGCGGTACGCATCACTCCATACCCCCTGGATTCGCTTCCCGAGGGTAATTCCACACGATCCTAGGCAGCCTGGGTATGCCCGGGGAGAAGAAGGACAGGAGCGGGGAAGGGACACCACTCGCGTCCCCTCGCTGCCACCCTGCTCTCCCCCGGGAGATGCCCAGGGCCG